CAACACCCAGATAAGCAGGGATTAACCCCAGACAAACAATCAAGCAGAAAACAATATCCTAATCAAGGATTTACCAAGGAGAAAACCACACCAACACTGGCAGGGCAATCCACTCTATATAAACCGGGTTAAAACCACCCCCCCCCCCCCCCGCCACACTAGCACTGATGTTAGTGGGTAATGAAATGTCTGCAAGCAAACAATGAAGCTCAGAGAGCATTGAGGACTCCACAGTTCAACTCTGAACTACTATATTCTCTTCTATTGGATGTGCATTTCATGATGGACATGACTTCTCATTATGGGCAGCATGAAACACATATTTACTGTCAGCAGTACACTATTCCTTTCATGAATAGTAATCTGTACCAAGAATGTTTTAAATCAGAAAAACAATTTTGTGGTGGGTTGGCAACAGGAGTGTCTGTAGATTGTTGTCCAAAAAGCTGAGATGGCAGCCATGATGGTGCAATCAAAACTCCACCTGGTTTGTATATTCTTCAATTGTACTGCTGTGGCCGCCATCTTGATTTTTTTAAACATATCCTGTGGGCACCCTGTTGGGCATATCACATCCCAGTATTAGCTGGTCTGCAGCAGTAGCCTAGTTCAATGGAATTGCTATATTAATGCATACTGTGGATCAGCTCCAGCTAGGGATAGGAGATATTATATGTTAGGAAACACAATCTCTGATTATGTAAATATACACATACGTGTGTTCCAAAAATGCTGATAGATATCTCAGCTAAAAAACAGATGAGGTAACCAATTGAACAGATAGAACTTTTATGAACTGGGAAAAAAAAAGAAAAAGAAGAACATGGTGTGTGCTTACGGGTTCAGGTTTAATGTCTAGATCATACTACACAACCGAAGACTAAGTGGCTGTGTTCTTATGTGTGAGAGATTGTGGGGATGATGGGAGAGGAATGGAAGGAATATTACACATATAGAATCAAGAGACAGGAGGGGAGTTTCTTGTTGTCTTGTCTCATAAATGGCGAGAAACCTGGGAAGAAGCATTTAAGATCCTTCAAAGAGACTCCATCTTAATTCATTCACCGTCAAGGGGGGTGCTAAATTCTTGCACTTTCCCAGATTCTGTATTTACCCCAGAGAAGCATTATGGTATTCCACCTCTTTGGTTAGTTGTGTCTTGGGTAAATCCAGAATATGGGTTAATCCAACAACAGATTAAGCACACTATAACCCCTAAACAACCATCACCAGCACTGATTGTTTTTTCCCCCTCTTCATTCCTAGGTCATCGAGCATGCTTGGGAGACAATTTGGCAAAGACAGAGGTCTTCCTTTTCTTTGGCAACCTTCTGCAAACGTTCAAATTCCAGTTGGCCGATGGATCAAAAGACGTAACGCTTGAGCCTGTTTGGGGAGGCACTCTGCAGCCTCACTACTTTGAGATCTGTGCGATTCCTCGATAGGGCCTGTATGTCAGGTTGAATAGCAGCCGTGGATACTGGGACTGGGTATCCAAGCATCTGGGTTTGTGTCCTCCAACTTTTGTCCGAAAACAAAGAGCAAGTTTCTAGCCCTTGTTGTTGTGGAAGAAAAATCTATACAACCTAGGCCCTTTCTGCAACATGGGCTTTTGAGTACAGCCTGGCCAGCATCATCAGTGTTGGGCTGCTCTCTATATTCTTGTCATTTACCTAGTTCCACTTGCACCCTTATAACTGGGCTCCTAATCTGACCACATGTTTAAAATTAAGTTTTATTATTTGCAAAAAGGAAGAGAAGCAAGGGAAAAGGAAAAGGAAAAGGAAAACTTTAGATGATTGTTCACCACTCTTTGAATAGTCCCTTTTTTTATATATAAACTTCATAACACACAGCAAACATGTTGACATTTAGTTCAGCCTCCCTGACTTTAGAAGAGAAAGAGGAGAGTTAAAGATATAAAATAATATAAGCAGATCAAATTTTGCAGTAATTTTCCAGATGAGTCTCCCCAAAAAGGGATGCTAATTATCGCTCTGTTCTAGATGTCCTTTTTTCGTGCAATTTTGGTTGAATTTTCTTTGCTTTTTTTCTTAGTGCTTTGGACCTGTCAGAGGAATCTTGTTCACAGAGCTGCCTTTTGGGGGAACCCAGATTTAACATTAGGATCATGGATAAAGCAAGGAATGGAGACTCCACCTTTTGCTGTCTTCTACCATCTCATGAGATGCATTTTCCTTTGCTTTTAGCTATACTTGGCAGTCTAGAATTGCATATTTTGAGTTGCTGTGAAGTCAGACTTAGGCTAGAATAGGGAGTAATACTTAGCCAACTTTGGCTAGTCTCAGAAAAGCTTAGCAGGGTTAGACTTGGTTAATAGTTACATGGGAGGCCAGCACAAAATCCCTGGATAAATTGACCTACATTTGGGTAATTAAAAAAAATCCTAGAAGGAAACTACACGGACACTGAGGAGTTGATCTTGACTTGAAGAAGTCTTAAGTCAGACTTAAATTACTTTGAAGTGGAGAAGCCAGAGATAGTGCAAATGGTTTACTTATGCCTTGGTCATATCCCATCTTGATTATCTAAATCCAAACTTGGCAGCCTCCTGATGCAATATCCACGTCTACCACTAGGTGTCGGCCACACACTGTTTTTTAAACTTTTCTAAAACTAAATGGACACTTTACCTTTATCAATTCTCCTTCACCCAGATGTTCATAGAGCAGTTGGCAACTGAGTAGTATCTGCTAGGATTACTGGATGCCTCTTCCCTTCAGCTTACTCCTGTGTAGCCATCATCTCAGAAATGAGCAGGGGAATCCTGTAAATACATGCAAAATCATTTTTTTTTAATGAGAAAAACACAATCTGTGGAGAATTTTATATTATGCCTACATATAGTGCCAGATTTTAAAAACAACATGGAACTTTGAAGAGAAGTAGGAGACATGGAAATTAGAAGAGAAATTAGGATCCAATATTAAACACCAATTTTTAAAAAATCTCATTTAATATTTGAAATGTGTTTTATTACTAGGTGTCCCAACCCTTTATGAAATGCTAATATTCTATGTGCAGGGAATTTGCTGTAAGAACTAGGGATGTGCAAAATGTCCAGTTCCAAGAAGTCTGGAACATTCCATTCTTCCCAGGGGTGTCCACATGGGTGTGTGTGGTTATGCATGTGCAGGTATGTGTCAAAATGAGTAAGATGGTAGAAATGGGATTGCAGCGCAAGTCCTACCCCATACAAAAGAGGTGAAGTTTGCATCATATGCCATGTCCACCATCTTGTCTGCATTAACTCCCCTCCTCCACAGATGTTGCTGGTTCTTCCTCCAAACCATGACTTTTGGCAGGACAGTGGTGGTGAAACCTGGCAAATAAGCTTTCTAGAACAGGAAATAATTTATAGTGTCTTGGAATGTATGGACATTTCAGACTAATTTTACTTCTGGAAAACTGTCCGCCCATTTCAGAACTTGCACCACTTGGCAATTTGCATTGCTCAAAATAGAACATTAGCTGTGTCTATTGTTGTTGTTTAGTCGTTAAGTCGTGTCCGACTCTTCGTGACCCCATGAACCATATTGCGCCAGGCCTTCCTGTCCTTCACTG